CTGTCTCTGAAGATGATGACGATGATGACTACCTAACAGAGGATGAAGAGGAAAGCGAAAATGATGACGTTTACATAGAGGCGGAAGAAGAAAATGATGATATGAGTTTAAAAGAGGCTGATTCTGATGAGGAGTCAATTGCTATGAACAACTCTACCGGTGATAAGGTACTTTAATTTACTTTCTACCAATTCATTATCTAAAACTTTGTTATTCATAATTTAAATAGCAAACCGACGCACTTTCAAGCAACTTAGTTGACGCTGAGTTTGCCGGAACAACTCGAGCTAAGCAAACAACTTTGATTATAGTAGAAGGGCCTTCGGCTATAAAAGCGGTAAAATCTGGCTTATTTGTGCTTGAGAAAAGTTTTGTTGGATATCTTTCACTACAAGGAAAACTTATAAACGCAAAGGATTCAACTGACGCAAAAGTGAAGAGCAACAAGTGGATTAAATTGATTGTCAGCAGCCTAGGACTGGACTTTAACAAGAAGTACACTACAATAAGTGAACAAGAGGAATTGCGATACGGAAAAATTCTAATTATGACTGATCCTGACGTGAACGGAACTTTTATCGCTGGAATGATTTTAACCTTCTTTCACAAGTATTGGCCTGCTTTACTAAAACGCAAGAACATGTTCTCAAAAATGAAGTTCCCCATTGTAAATGTTTACAACAAATATGCAAAAGAAGAAGCTTTTTCGTTTTACTCTTTGAATCATTTTGAAAACTGGAGACAAACTACAAGCAATTTTAACGACTTCACAGTTAAATACTTCAGAGGTAAACTTTAAAAATGTTTTAAAATTTAAATACTTTTTGCACACTTTTAAAAATTATTTTTTGTTTTAAAAGGTCTGGGAAGTATCCCCTCTACTCAAGTTATTAAATCTTTTGCAAATTTGGACAATCATTTAATTAACTTTGAATATGGCGGCGCTGAAGACGACAAAGCTCTTGACATAGCATTCAGCCCTGAAATGACTGCAGAACGTAAAAAATGGATTGAAGAACAGCAAAACAAGATTACAGTTTACTCTTTTGAAACTGAAGGCAATTCAGAAACAATTTCGTTTAAAAAGTTCATCGACAACTATTATTTGTTGTACTGCAAATTTTCAACACTGCAAAATATTCCTTCAGCAGTTGATGGCCAAACTCAAGTTCGACGTAAAATTCTGAGCTCAAGTTTTAACATCAAGTCACTATTATCATTGCCTCAACTTGCGGGAATCGTATCTGCAGAAACAAATTACGTACACAATGAAAAGTACATTGAAACTGCTATTTCAAGCATGTGTCAAAACAACCTTGCTAGTAACAATATCAATCTACTCTCTGGAGAAGGCCAATTTGCCAATCGATTCACAGGAGAGGACGCTGCCACTTCTCATTACCTTTTTACAGAAACTCGCCTTTCAGCTCGCCTATTGTTTCCAGAAAAGGATGAGCATTTTCTTTCATTTAAGCAAACCAACTACTTTGCCTCTGAACCTACATTTTTCGTTCCACTCCTTCCACTGGTGTTAATCAACGGCGTCTACAATTTTGGTTTTTGGAAGTCGTCTGTCGCCAGCTACAATCTTGAGCAAATTGCACAAAAGATTATGCTAAAACTTTCCGGTGTTGAGGATGAGCTTCCGCCACTGGAGCCATTTTACAAAAATTTCACTGGCACTATTCGTCGCGTGAAGCAGAACAAGTTTGCAATTTTTGGAACTGCTGCTCAACTATCTGATACAAGTTTTGAAATAACTGAATTGCCAATCGGTACTACTACGCAAATGTACAAATCAAAAGTACTTGACAAACTGGTGAAAATTGGCTTCATCAACTCCTTCAGCGAGCACCACACTGACTTGTCTCTCCGCTTCCTTGTGAACATCTCAAGCAAAAATCTAAAGAAATCTCTAGAAAAGGGATTCTACAACACTTTTCAGTTGATAACTTTCTTGCAAGAGCATTTGTGGCTGTTTGACCAAGAAGGCCATTTAAAGGAGTTCAAATCAGTAGATGAAATTTTCGACTGCCACTTTCAATGTCGCCTTGACCTTTACAAAACAAGACAACAGTACACTGAAGGACTACTTCAAGCTGAAGTCAACTACTACGCCAATAAGGTGCGCTTTATCACAGAGAAGAAGGAAGGAATGATCGACTTTGAAAGTGTTACACTGAACTCGTTGATCATTGAACTCCGCCGCCGTGGTTACAACAGCAATCCTGTTGATCAATTTAACGGGAAAGGTAAATTTGAAACAAAAAACTGTTGTTAAAATTCTAATAGTCAATTTACTTTTCAGCAAGTGATTACTCGTACTTATTAAGTCTTCCCATAAGTTCATTTTCAGAAGATGGTTTTCAAGCACTTATCAAAACAAGAGATGAAAAACAGCAGAAATTGTATCAACATCGTCAAATCACACCAGAACGAATGTGGATTAGGGATTTGATGAAATTCATTCAAAAGTTCAAAGAAGAGGAAGAAGAGGAAAATAACTTAATGAACTCGCTGCTTCAGCCTGACCATTTACCGGCTAAAAATGGAGAGAAAATTGAACCAGAAAATTTGACTGAAAATCAAGTTAACAAGCCTCTAGGATTGTCTGCAAGTCGAATGACAAACAGTTTTGTCGTTAGCTACAAGTGCCGTACAAGTCAAGTGCATCGTAAAAAGAAAGCTGATTCTTCCCGCAAATATCGAGAAAACAATTTAGAACGTGTTCTTGAAATTAACCGCAAGTACCGTGATGAAAATCGAGAAAAACTTAATGAAAGCTGCCGTCAATATTATAAAAACAACAAAGATAAAATTATAGCAAAAAGACGCCAAAGTCAAAATCTTGAGAAAATGCGAGAATATCACCGCAAGTACAACGAAAAGAATTATGATGAGCTCAAAGAAAAGAGGCGCATTTATCGAGAGGAAAATCGAGAGCGCCTTAACGCACAAAGACGTCAAAGCTATCATGCGTCAAAAAGTCTGAAAAAGTAATCTGTTGTTAAATTTTCTAATAACTCTTTTGTATCCTCTTCAGTCAGCTTTATTTCATAACTCTTTTCTATTTCCATGTTTAACTTTTCTAATTTTTGTTAATAAACCACTAGTTTGAACACCAATCGACATAACTTTTTGCTTACATTTTGCCTTCTTTCTCCACTCAGCGGCGCATCTTTACTGCTCTTTTTCTCTCTGCCCTGTACTGCGTTGCGTTGCGTTGCGGTTTTTTCGCTTTTTAACTATCAAAATTGAAAAATTTGTTTTCTAACTTCTAGCTATTATAAAAACAAAAATTTTTGAGTAAATGTGGTTTGTTTCAATTTTAAATGTTTTCAATAACAAACATGGCATATTAATAAAGATTGTCAAATAGTTTTGCCTTTTTGCTAAAAACACCACTGGACCACTGGTATTATGGAGCGCATTCCACTTTAAATGGACTAAATGGCACGTGTTCTTCTCCGTATTTAACCACAATTATGTGCTCGCCCTTTTCTCGCGAGCTGTACGTCACATTGTAGTTGTTTCGGCCTTGATGGCGGATGTCGATGCCCTCACAGGGACCACGAGGACCGTACACCGCCACGTAGAGCATGTTGTTGCCTGAAAGCAAAAAGGACAAAATTTTTAAATGTTTGAGATCACGTTTGCAATTAAAAAGTTAGCACTGACCAGCATTGGAGGCGTTCACGTTGAAGTTGTTCTGTCGATTGAGGACTGCTCTCTTCAGACCGACGCCCTTGCTCTCCACCTTGCTGGCGTCCGACTTGAACTTGGGCATGACGTCGCCCTTCGCTCGGCTCATCTTCGTCACCGTCTCCACCACCACCTGCGTTTGTTCGCCCGTTGAGATGTCGGCAATGCTCTTGGTGCCTGAAGTAAAGCAATGGTTTAGTTAACCAGTTCAACTTTTGAATAAAGGTGCACTTACCCATAGCTCGAACTTTAAAGGGCGCTTTAGATAGATGTGAACAAATAAAAGAGGAGAAAAAAGAATATGATTAACATTTCATGTTCAAAAGTTAAGCTGTTTTTTGCCTTTTTAGACAAGTTACTTACAGCCAACAATGTGATAACCGTTATACTTCACTGTAATCAAGTACTCGCCAGGAGCGAGGGGCGTGTAGCGCACCTTGTAGCCCTCGTCCACCTCGGTGCAGTCCATTGAAACCTGAAACGTAGTACAAAATATTAGCTTTTAAAATATCTAACTAACTTAATCATCTCTTTTAAATCGCCCACCTTCGAGGGCCCGTCAATGGTGACGGCCAGTGTGCCAGCACCTGCGCTGCAGGTGTCAATGATAAAGTCAGTCTTGGCGCCGGTGCGAGCCTCCTTGATGCCGGCGCCGCTGACGTGGACGGCCGCCGGATCGGCGTCATCGTGGCCGATGCGCATTGAGAAGGGCGACTCGGGGATGTGGACGCCGTTGAAGCGAATGTGCAGCCGGTGAACGCCATTCTCCCGCGGGATAAAGCGGAACGCCCACTGGTCGTCGTCGATCTTGCTGAGGAAGGCGTCGTCCTCGGTGCCGCTGGGAGCAATTACCTTGCCGTCCATGTTGCCCTTGGCGCCGTTCATGTTCAGCGTGAAGGTGACCGGGGAGTTGACCTTCAGGTTGTGCTCCGCAGGGATGGCGCCCAGTTCGATCTTGCGGGCGTCGCCAGCCTGAAAAATAAAATTGGTTAGTTTTGTATCTTTTTGTAAAATTATTATATTTTAGTTGTTGTTTACCTGAGCAACAGCGTACACTTTATAAGGTGAATCTGAAAGTTTGAAAAATTGTTTAGTTAAGTTAGTTTTTACTAATTTTAGAAAAACTGTAAATAACACACACACACACACTGTGTGTCACACACTCTCTCTCCCTGTTTGTTTTATTTGGCACGTTTCTAACCCTTTGTAGTGGCTGGGACGCCAGCCCCTACAAATGCTCTTTCTTCCCTGTTCCGTCACTGGCTGACCTTCCAGACAGTCGCCTATTCGTCGTCATCACCAAGAAGCACATCAAGCTGCCTCATGTGTCCAATGCACATTGCCCACATTCCTCAGCTCTCTACAGCCGCANGCCAGCAGCCTCACCCTTTGTGCACTGCTAGCTGCACATATCTGCAGCACTGAAACGCAGTGCCCACTAACGTGACATCGCCTGGTACTAGCGTCACTCCCGTCGTCACTATCACCA